ACTATCTTCTGAAATCTAATTTCATGATGTCAAAAAGTTACTACTTTCATCTCACCAACATAACCCAAGTCCCTACCCCAGCATAACTCAAAAGGTTGCTGGAAAATRTACAGTCTCTTCGTTTTTTTAGTGGGTGAATAGAAATAAAATTATGAGCGTTTAAACTAAATAATAATTTTTTCCTTGTAGCCTGAGATCTGTTCAATCAATAATCTTTCTGCTAACTCTGGGGAGAATTTTAGTTGCCTCCATAAAATGTTTTAATTATTTAAAATCATAAAATATAAGTAGGCACAATTTGCTTGGAACTCATTAGGGAAATATATGAATAAGAAGATAATGTTTGCTTCTGCATTAATTTAAAGCAGTCTCTAAAATATGAAATCTAATCCTGGAAAGCAGTGACTTTCTTATAATAGGAGTAAATATTAAAGCAGCTAGTTATGTGCTTATCCCTACAGTATTACACTGAGCCAAAAAGGAAGATAAATAACTTGTCTGAAATCCCACATTTATTTCCCTCTTTTGCAGGTTTTATGTTTGTTCATTTCCTTTTCCAAAACATTGCTTTTAAAATTATTATAAAACAGGTGACTTGAAAACCATGAGTAGCTGCAAATGCATGAGACCAATTTTGTGTGATTAGAATTATGYCGAGGTAATGCTTTATACTCGTGCAGAGCCTTTTCATCTAGTGCAAATCACAGGAACAACATGCAGCAGCAGAGAAATGCCACAGCCCTGAGAAAGGKCTTGGCAGACCAGAGAGCAGAGCAACTGATGGGTGAGGAAACCAAATAATTTCTTTAAGCTTTTCTGAAGAAACTTAAATTCCCACTCTGTCAGGAAATGCTCATTTGCAGCTATTAGGTGTGCAAAGAAAGAAGAGTCGTGTTTGTCATTTCCTCAACCCGGTACTTTTTCGGGATGTCATCAGCAATCCCTGCCCAAGGCTTGCTGATTCCCAGAGACGGGCCCAGGTCTTTCATGTGTGTGGAGCTTTAGGTTATTTGACTGTGTTGTTCTGGCTGTTGTTTGGAAGAAGGGATGGAGCCATTTAGCATGGTCACATTTCTCAAGGTAGTGCAAAAGTGGTGCCACTTTGAGTAGATGGGATGGATAAAACCAAGCTGTATTAGTCTCAGCTAGTACGGTGTTGTGGTTTAACCCCAGCTGGCAACTCAGCCCCACACAGCTGTTCCCTCACTACCCCTGGTGCTATGGGAGAGAACTGGAAGGGTAAAAGTGAGAAAACTTGTGGGTTGAGATAAAGACAGTTTAATAAACAAAGCAAAAGCTGTAAAAGCAAGGAATTCATTTACCACTTCCCATTTGCAGGCAGGAAAGCCATCCCCAGGAAAGCAGGACTCCATCACACATAACTTGGGAAGGCAAACACCATCACYCTGAATATCTCTCTTTCCTCCTTCTTCACCCCATTTTATATGCTGAGCATGATGCCATATGGTAACCCTTGGGCCAGTTTGGGTCAGCTGGCCTGGCTCTGTCTCSTCCCAGTTTTTCATGTATCCCCAGCCTTTTCCTTGATGCAGTGAAGTGAGGGAAACATCTCTGTTATCAACATTGTTTTCAGCACAAACACAAAACATTGACCTGTACTMGCTGCTATGAATAAAATTAACTCTACCMCAGCACAACCCAGCACACAGGGAGAAAACTCTCTTAAAACACTACTGATCCCTTAGCTTTTTTACTCCCATTGTGGCCATTTAGTATCGATTTATTCAAGTGATAAAGAGAAATAAGCAGGGAYGCAGCCAACTGTGCTACTACATCATCAAAAAGGAGCCAGTTATGGCWTTGCTGCTGTTGCCACTTCTGTATCAAGACTGCAGTGCATGAGATGTGGCATTCCCTCAGATCTGAGTTGCAAGGTTTCTGGGAACTGCTCATGCCTCAAGGAAGGAGTCTGGATGAAGTTTATATTCATTTTCTTTTCCCTACATCCTATGGGCTTCGACACAGAAGGTTTGTTATTTGTCTTCCATGGACCGCAATTCACAGGAAGTGCTGTCTGTGCATAATGTGACTGAATTAAAACAGATTAAAAACAATTGATGAGTTTGTTAAAAGAAGGAGGGACAGCACTTTCAGAGGTTCAACAAATGCCTGTAAGTTATGCTACATTCAGTAGCCCAGTTTTTCTTTAGGCCATTACTTCTTTAGTAACATGAGAGACTRAGGCTACTCCCTGCTTTGTCCCCTAATGTCCCAGCAGGATTAAAAGCTGCAGCATTGAAAATGCAGAACTGAGCCTTGAGCCCTGTGCCTGCCCTTGGACAATGAGTTGTTTTTTTGGGGGGGGCAACCTTCTCTCTAGATTTCTGAGCATCCAGTCTCAGTCCTGCTCATTTAATTAGCTAGTAGAGATACATAGTCTACCTTTAAAAAGTCTTCTGTTCCCTTCCCTATCATCCACATATATATCACMCCATATAATTTTGAATGTGACATCTTTGGAGTGGGTACTGAGATACCCAATCAGCAGTTAGGACTACATGCTTTCATTCTAATGGTGGCTTCTGGGAGTTGCCAATTAGGGGGAATTATTATCTTTTTTTTCTTTTCGGTTTGATGTTTGTTTGTTTAATGAACTATCCTTCAGCTCCGTTTGCTTCTGAGCAAGTCCCAGCTGCACATTTGTCACCTGTGTTGGCCYGTCTGGGGTCATCCTTTGCAACCTGAAGAGATGTCAGTGTTGCAGGCACAGCTGGACGGTAGGGTTTAGGTAACAGCTGTGCCCCTGGATCAGCTCCTCTCCAGGGGCAGAAAATCCTGAACCTCCATAGTGCAAGCAGTAACTCAGACAGGTGTATTACCTGAGAGGGGTAAGCAGACCCATGAGCTTCCATACATGATATCTCCATTAGAGAGAGACAAAGACTTGCATTGCATTATTGGGTGGTCCATTCTCATCAGCTAATGGAAGTCTAAATTCCCATTGCCCCCACAAATTCCCACAGCTGATTCACCACTTGAATTAAACCATAATTATATATTATCAGCAATTACTTCATAGTAAGGTTGAAGGATTAAATGCRGTTAGTGATGATAAATTCCAGATGTGCAGGACAGAAGCCTGAAGAGAAGGCCAGTTTTTGAGTAACTACAAGATAGTATAATGCATTCTAAATATTTGATTCAATTAAGCTTCCTTCTGCTCTTTGTTTCAGCTTACAGATGGCTCATCAATCTATAGTTTAGGGACACACTGCTGTTCTTTCTAATGGTAATTAGGTGATCAGGATGGAGACAGGTTTGATGAAATACTCACATTATGGTCTGCATATTTAAAATGGAATAGAGCCCAAAGAAGAGGCAAAATGCTAGATGGCTGCTGCACATGGCTCCAGCCTCAGGTACTTGATAGGTCTTCCTCTAGCAACTGGGACTTTGCCAGTTCCCACCACAGAAGGAATAGGAGTTTTTTAATTGAGTGCTTTTATCTGTTTTTTTAAACTTTTTTTAAATTCTTATTTGATGGTTTACTGCAAAAATACCCATTACGCTTGCCCATTTTTGGCTCACCTTCACTGGCAGGGCTCTTGCAACTTGGAAGATAGTACTAAAACAGTTACAGAGTCTGTGACTGATCTTCCCATGACCTCTCCATGTTTGGGAAGAGCCATCATATTTTTAGGGCAGGGTATGTGTTCTTAACAGCTTGTWGCTTGCTAATGGTTATCATCCTATGGCCTCTGAAAGCAGGAATATTTGAAAAGATGTCCCACTTTTGAAGKGTCCCATTTTGTGTTTTTAACCCTTAAGGATTCTTTTGTTACCTACTGACAAAGTAAAATTGTAAAGTAGAACAAGGCCAGAAGCTTTGCATGCAAATGTATAATGTTCCTGTATACTCCTCCAGTCACTCCATCTGATAGCCACTAAGAATTTAGTAAGGTGTTACTTCTTTAATACAGAGAAGAAATTTGAGGAGCTCAGAGCTTTGAAGCTGAGGGTAAATCTATACTCAGAAAAAGAAACTGGGCAAACTTTATGCCCTATTTAAATTCTCATTTAAAAGCCACACGCACCTTGTCCTGGCCTTCCCCCAGACATGGATTTTGCAGTCAGTCCTCAGTTCAGCAAAGTACTTAAGTACATCCTGATATGCTTTGCTGAATCAGGGTTTTAAGTGGAAGTGACAGAAATAGAATTGAGATCTCCTCAGTCCAACCCCACTCTGAAGCCATCAGGCAATGCTTCCTTTCTTCATTGCTAGCCCACTGCAGTATGGCAAGTGTCTAGAGACATGCTCTGAACCTCTGCCCCTCAGCAGAACCCAAGCCACCCAGCTGAAATTTCAAAAATATGAGCCAAGTAGACAATTTTAACAATTCTGAGACTTGAAATCTTTGTCCCCCAGGGCCTCGARTCATTCAAGTGCATTATTTAAGCAAATGGAAGGATTCCTTTAGCCCTGATACAACTTCCCTACAGGAARTCAATAAATCTGCAGATGTCTTTCCTCTATACCCTTCCAGTGTTATCAGTGCCCCAGGAGTTACCAGTGAAACTTTTGTCCATAAAATTCTACTTTCATTTTCTTGTTCAATCAATTTGTATGTGTAACAAAGAATTTCAGGCTAAAATTTTATTACAGGTTGCCTAGGGAAGGGAATCTCTGCTTGCAGTAATGATTTGAATAGCCAATTAACAGCTGTATTGCATCCTCATACCATCATAATCCTTCTGTAGTCTTGCCACCAATACTCTGTGCCAGCAACTTTCTAGGAAACAAGCAACTAGCAAGCTGCTTTTTTGRGGGGCAAGTGGGAGCGAGACAGAAAAGAGGGAGAATTGTTTTGGTTTATTTTTTGCTCATTGGCTCTTCACTCTTACTTTAAATAAACCTACCTGCACTGTTACCTAGGTTAAAGAAATTCAGTCCTTGTGCACAAAGGCTTTAGAGAATACAATCACTGCATTGCAAATACTGTTGGTCCTTTGGCAAACTTTTAAAAAGAACATTTTTTCCCCCCAAAGATGTCCTTTTGTGGCTTCTTATGTAGCATCCTTCAAAGAAAAGGAATGACTTTCAATGTTTTTAGTCTGAGAAGGCTGGCAAACTCCTTGATGTCCTTTCATTAAAAATCTGTTTTTCTATTATGGCTACAAATGTTAGTAAACTCCACTTCTTTTCCTTTTGATGGTAGGACTGATTATTCTGCTGTTCAAAACGCTCTTCTAGAACAGAAAATTACTTTGTTGTACTAAGTCACTTGGACACTCTATAGAGGGAGATTTTTTCAACCATTGTCTTACAAGGACAATTTCACATAATTTTATTTCCTTTATTACAATTAAAATAATAAACTATAGTTGATCTCATAATAAATCTCTCTTCTCTACTTAGCTGCCCTTAGGATCCTGCTGCTCCTAAGGTTTACTTTCCCAGGCTATACTATCCAGTGGGGATGTATATTAAATCACCATTTTTGATACTGTTCCACCTGCATTCTTCCTGATGCTTTAATGCTGCTTGTTATWTCCCATCTGCTGGGCTTCCTCGAGTTACAACTTGAATGCTAATGTGACTCCATCCCCCATTGGGAGCATGCTGATATTGACGCGTGCATCTCTGACAAGCTTCTCATTGAGGTGGTGGATACTCTGGGCTGCCAAGTCATCCTTCCTTGGTTTTACCACCTTTCCACTCCAAAGGACCTATTGAAAAAAGAAATGTGATGCACCTCATTTGTTCCAATATGTCCTTGGACCACAAAGGAGACTTTGGAAAATGTCCTGCATATTTTTTAGAAATTGGTATTGTTGTATTTCAGACACCTAATGGTCTCTGACATACAACTCTCATAAGTAAATGGGACTGAGTGTCCACAGAACTTGCTAATTGTACTTCTACTGTAGATTTGATGCCAAAATAAAAAAAAAAAAGTGTGTTTAAACACAGATCTTTTAAGAGTCCCTATTCAGCTGCCACCATAACCCTGAAGATGCCTCAAATTTAACGTGATTTGTTCCTTGTGAAAGTAATTAATTGGTAATTTATTAATAGTTACTGATTACAAGTCTACTTTTGATCCTGCATTTATCCAAACGATAAATGCACTGCAAGACAAACCAGAATAATACAGAGCATTCTTGGTAATAAATTACAAAAAAATGTGTATGTTTCTGTTATCACAGACCGTTTGTGCACTAACACAAATTTAACACATGGTTTCTTATTTCTAGAGGGTTTTATTCCTTGCTTATATTAATGTTTTATGTAGCTTACTTAAGGGGTTTATGTTGAATTTTGCTTTTTGTTTGTGTTACATGGAGCAAACATGTCACAATTGGCAACTTAATTGCAGGTTAGAAATCACAATTCTGGAATTCCACTATGACATTTTTTCTTTTCCCACAGCCAGATGAAGCAACTACCTGTGCATTCCATCAGAACTGCAGTACTTACATTATCAATAGCTATTATTCCTCCTTTCCTTACGAGGCGCAAGCATTTTTCATAGTACTCATTGTAGCTTTCTTTATCTGCATCAATGAAAGCGAAGTCAAAGGTTTCCGCTTCTCCATTGGCCAACAGTTCATCTAGATGAGCAACAAAGTCAGTTGTTACACCCTGGTTAGTGCTTTGTAGGAGGAAGTAATCTATTTGTGTCAAAGTTCTCATTAAATGTTTTCTGCTGCCTTGACCAGGTAGCCTRTTCTTCCACGGGTAATTACTAGAAAAGCTTATCCCACAGAAACCAATCTAGACGTGATAYATGCCATAAAACACTCTGAGTTCTGCGTGCTTAGAAGCGCGTGCAGTAGATCCAAATCTGAAGGATACAGCTGGGACTGCTGAAAGGTACAGTAAAAACAAGTCAAGCACTGAAACTGGACATACAGCTTGTTTTTGAGCTGAGAACTTTCTTGAATGGATTAGAATTTTTCTCACGTTTATGAACAGGTTCTAAATGCYAATCTCTCCTTCAAGATCAAAGTGCCATGAGACAGGTCATGAACAGAAAAATTGCTGTAAGTAGTCCCACTCTGGACCAAGGTAAGTGGAATTCAGTTTTGAGTTCTCTTAAACAGACTTCTTGACTGAGAACTTCAGATTGCCAGTTGCAGAGGAGCTGAATGCTGTCTCCTCTGCCAACCCTCTGACCTGCCCTTACCCTCTCTCAGCAGAGGATCTTTCCGCCTGAAGCAATGCCTAGATAAAGCAGTTCAATAGACTTCATACCAGCAAACTACTTGTATTTGCCTCTTCAGAAAGGATGGATGAATCTGAAAGTAATACAAGGTTAYGTATGGATCTGTGGATCTATCAAACACCTTTGCTGGAAACCTTCCACATCCAACAATCCTAGAAAATTTCTTGCATTTTCAGAATATTTATTAGCATTTCCTCTGCCCCACATCTTCTCTTTCCTTGAATGAGAGAAGTCATTGCCTTGCTAATGGTCTTGCATGCTTTTGGCACATCCTTTGAACTTCCCTGAATACAATTCAGCCTAAGTTTAATACTAGCTCCTGACTTTTTTTCTGCACCTCAGTCCTTTCAGGAAATGCTTCCTCTCTTAACAAAGGAATACCTGCTTAGAATGGACAATGGATAAGAGAAACTGGGCTTTGTCTAATTAATCTGTTTTAATCAGCTTTCCCAGAAGCAGCTGACAATAGTACTTGATAGATTAAACAAAGTGATGGACAGGACAGGTGAGTGACTAGTACAGCCCACTGCATAGGACAAGCATTTTCTTCCTCTCTGCTAGTAGACAGAAAAAAATGTGAATTCCTAAAGTGTTTTACTTTTTAATATAWGAGAAGCTGTCTCCCTCTTAGCAAAAGGGATGACATTGACAACCATATTAGGTCATAAATTTCATCACTTATATGCCTCCTCTATTTCTAGGGAAGGGGAAACAGTCAGTTATTTTAGGTTACTTACCAAGTGTCTGAATTGCTGGCTTAATCCGCAGGTCAATCTTATGTTCTACTCCTGCCTAAGATGAAAAAGAACAGGGAGTTGATAAAAATTGATAAGAAACAACCTGTTAGTAGGCTGCACTCAGGGAGTGACTGGTGTTCAGATAGTTTTCCTATTATTTCTAGGTTCCAAACACCACTTATTATTCTTCCTAAACTGAACTGTTTCAGCCTCCTTTAATGATAATACTTCTGCATGAATGTGTAAGTCTAAAATACCAAAATCTCCTCACATGTAAATGCAGCTGTCCCTAACATGTAACAGGAAATGCTGCTTACCTCCTTCCACAGTGGCCTTCCAATTTTGGCATAGTCCTCATTTATATCACAGGCAATWACTCGACCATTATCTGGCAGGACAAGTGCCATATTCAAGGCATTATAACCTGTGAAAACACCTAGGAAAATCATAAGAGAYATCTACAGTTACTGTATTGTCAAAAAAGAACTACGGGACTCTCTTCAGAAATCAAATCCCCTACAGAGTCGAGGATGAAAATTTGTTAATGGACAGTAAAGATTTTCCCCTCCATTTTAATGTGATGGTGGGTTGGGATTTAAACAAAAAAATCAATCTTTAATCAATCTTTTTTTAATCTGTTAGCTTTTTCCAGAAGTCTCATGGATGGACAAGACGGAGTCTGGTCTTGCATGTGTAACCCAGAGAGACTGGAGGTGCAGCAAAATACCAGGGTATTGTAATAGCCAGACCAAGAATTAAATGGTGAGAACTCATACCTGGCTGCTCAGCATCAGTCTGTCTTTTAGGACATCCTGCTAGCATAGGAGTGTCAAGGAAAGTGGATTTGATACAAGGCCTGGGCACCAAAGTATTTTCTTCCCGCAAGAAACGGATACAGGAAGGACAGAATACACTCTGTCCTGCAACTGTTGAAGACTCAAGAGATCTATTGATCTCAATTTTTCAGACTRTCTCAGAATTGATAAACCATCCATGCTGATGCCAGAACTACTGAATGCACAGACAGACAAAGTGGCAAGCAAGTGCAAATCAGACACTCCTTTTCATGCTGCAGTTTGCCCACCTGTTTGCTGACAGCTATACAGTACCTTACTGTATCTGTGTATCTTATATCAAACATGGCTGTATTTGGAGAATAGTCAGGAGTTTTATTTTACTTCACTCTTACCTATTTCAAGAACTTTCTTGGCTTTAATGAGTTTGACTAAATTTGCCATAAGTTGAGCCTGGTCACAGCACACCATCATTCTGCCCCAGGGATGATCAGCAGTGAGCTGGAACAGGGGGAAAAATAACACATGACATCAAACAAAACCTGAATCTACCAAACCAATATCCTAAAGGRAAAAAAAAMCCAAACCAGTGAAACTCCAGGAAAAACAGGTACCTCTGTCTTCTCRTTTTAGATGGCTTTGTGCTCCACCTGTGAGCCAGAAATTGGTTTAAATTTAACTATAACTAAGGAGGATGTTGTGTGTGYGTCATAAGTATGGGATATTCAAAGCAGTAATGGGCTCCAAATTTACCATGGCTGTGGCAAACTCAGCAACATTTGTAACTAATGAAGAATCTTAGAGGAACCTTGACTGAGAAAGTCCTTTATTTCTGTGAATTTACATAAACAGATGCACTTCCTTCAAGACATGTAGAATGCTTTTATGAACTGCTAGATTGACATCTGCCAAAGATCAGACCACGTAGTTCTGGCTACATGGCGCAAACSTGGAGAAATTGTGCCCATTCCAGGGTGGAAGGGCTCTTGGCATGAGGATTGGGAGAAGCAGGGCCGTACCATGACAGTTGAAGGAAAAGTATGTCCTCCTACTTCCTTTATTCCTCCAGGGATCATTCCAACCAGCCTGTTCCAGTAGTTAGCATTYAATTTCTTTTGTACAGGAGCAGTCTGTCTGACCTGAAATGACTCAAACYTGAGTCAGGATGTCTGGTCTAATCTCTGACACTGGAGCTTGGTGGAGGACACCACCTCTCTVAGCTACAGGTTCCTTGTATGCCAACCATAATAAACAGAAGTCATCTGTTCAAGTCCAAATCAAGTGCAGCCCAAACACATGGCCTTGGGAGCCAAGGATAKAAACACATGTCTAAAATATATGCCAATACTCTTAAATATTCATGTAGCTAGCCCTGAATATTGAAATCTGAGTATTACCAGTTAAAAAAAAACCCCTCTAGTGTATATGCAAATAAGATGGRGGAAGGAATGTGACCAGGAWCCCAGCAGTTCAAGATGAGGCGTGRTTGATACTGACCAGACGCAGCTTCTTTAGAATTGGATGTTCCCGCAAAGAGTGATCCAGTATGTATTGCCAGAGAGGACTGCTCTTCCCAATCATCCCACTTGTGGATGATTTGGGTGTCCCAAAAACTAAAGAAGGGTATCTTTTACCTACAAAAAAATAAGTAATAATAAGAACTATTTTACTTTTCAGTTATTGCTATTTTAAATAAAGCAAGTATTGAAGTATTTACTAAAGGTTAAGAAGTTCTTTGCTCTAAAATAGCTGTGAAAATGGAAAATGTAACAAAGCTGGACAACCAGACTGTCTTATTTTTTTTTCTCCTTCTCCTTTTTAGCCTCTAAGTTGTCCAACCCAGGCCTCCAAAGACTGAAGGGGAAAGGCTTCAGTACAGTGTTGTTTAGTGGCCAATTGTGATGGTTACAAACTGCCATAATCTTGCAGGAGAAGTAACCCCATCAGAACTCAAAGGGTAAGTTTAAAGAGAGAAACATGAATGAGGCACGCAATTTTCTTGGTCTGGGGCCCTTGTTTTGCAGATAAATACAAGCTTCTGGGTTTTAGGCCCATCAGCTGATGCATCTTCTCAAACCCTGTGCTCTCCTCATGACACCGTCCTGCCCTTTAGACAGGAAATCTGGTATTGCTCAGTGGCTTGTTTAGCATGAAACCACTAAGCAAACAAAGTAGATGCTGAAAGTTGAATTTTAAGGATTAGTAYGTCTTCTCAAATACAGAATTGACTGCAACTTTGATGCCCGATTTTTTTTTCAATCAAATGGATCAAATATTTTAAAGAAATAACAATAAATTCATTCCCACATATCCTGTCGGATGTTTGCTAGTCCTTTTATTTCAAGGGGTTCCTTTTCTGTTACTGGTTCTATTTTACAGATAAGCACACCTAAATGTAGATAATTTCAACAACTTGCTTTAAGTTAAGGTRAGTAAACAAATGCCCGCGTTACCAACCCAACCCAACTCCTTCCCCTGCTGGATCGTGGGCTCGTTCTTCCACTGGCGCCGGGGAATGAAAGCGAAACTGCTATCAGAAGACAATGCTGTGCCAAAGACCGCACCCCCGCCTTCCGGGCCTGACCAAACAAATGCAGGCGGGGACCGGGCGGGGAGCATGTCCTCGCCTTCGCTGGGACCTTTGGCCCTRCCTCACACTGCAGTAGCTGGATTACAGGGAGCGGCTTGCGCTCTAAGAGCATCAGTGTAYTTACTGCGAAAGCTCAGTGAAATAAATCCCTGCCCGCAGCGCAGCCCCAAGGGGTCTGCTCCCCCGACGGCCTCCGGGCTGCACCCGCGGCGGGGACTTCTGCCGGGGACACCTGCCGCCCTGGGACGGACCTGCCCGGGCGCTGCAGTTCCCGTCCCGTCCCMAGTGGGGACACGAGGAGGGCTCAGCTTTCACGTCCCCGTGTGTGTGGCAGGTGCTGGGGCGCGCCGCTTACCTGCAAGCATACCCGTGGCAAAGGCGACGCCCAGCATCGCCGTCCCGACGGCCACTTCTTTGGGTACGCTGAGAAGCGGCATTTCGGAGTCGGGAGCGAGCGGCGCGGTGGGAATGAGCGGCGCTGCCCGGCCCGGTCACACGCGGCGCAGGGCGGTGCGCTCCGCCCGCCCTCGGAGGGCGGAGCCCCGCTGTCCGTGGGTGGTGGCCCCCGGCGCGTGGGTTGGTCTTGGTGACCCTTACGGTCCCCGCGCCCCGGCGTGCCCAGTGCTGGGCTCGGCTAGGATGGCGAGTGGGTGGGTGACCCGCAGGAGGTGCGCGCTTTTCTCTCGTGGACATACTCTGTTGTGGTGCGTAAAGTGACAAAAACTGCACCTGGGATTTGTGCCACCACATCCTCAGAGGCTGCTTYTGGTACAGATTCACTACCGTGTTCGTTTTGAAACACACCCAAGAATCCTGTGAGTTGGTAATGGGCTCTGATGGAGGACTTTTTCGTAAGAGGCTTGGTACTCCAACTAGCCCAGGAAGTGAGCTCTCTCCTTCCCATAGAACAAATGTTTCTTTCCAGCTSAGGTGTGAACAAATACTTGTCAGAAAGCATGTAAGATTTTTGGAATTTTAGTCCTGTGACCTGTGAGTTTCCAGGTGAAAGGGGTCAAGAAAGATTYTCCAAGAGAGGGAATGGGGCCTGGTTTCCTCAACTGCTTTCCAGCCCCCTTCTGCAGTACCTTCCAGCTGAGGTGGAGCAGTGCCCTTGGCGCTGCTTAACAGCCTTGTTTACGGATCTCCTCCCCGGCTGGATCTATTGCTGMGGGAGTTGATTTATAAGTCAACAGTGATTGTGTAATCTCTTTTATGTCAGCCTAAAACTAACTTTTYTGTGCTTCTGTGAAAGTACCCTGTGGTACCTTCTGGAAATGGGCTGGGGGCTTGGTTTTCATTTTGTAAAGTATTGGTAATATCTGGAGTTTGGAAAACACAAGTAAAATGYGGAGAACTATAATTTTATCACTCTATGGCAAAGGAAATTAGTGACATTGCACACAGACCAGGAACATGTGGGAATGGATTAGGTTGCAACTCTGCTTCCACAGATGTAGGATGAAAGCAGGTAAAAATTACCTTTTGGCACATAGTCCCTGTTTAGAAACCTAGATGAATTATGCGTTGGTAGATTTGGATGAAAACATTTCAACTATTTGCTTATGCTAGCAAAACAAGTGCCAGTGCAGTTAGAAGAAAAAGGATATTTTTAAAGTATATCTTAAGTGGGGGGTTAAGTATATTATSAGGGTATTTATGGAAAATGGGTTTGCCTATCACTGCATTTTAGTGTGTGTTTACAAAGACTTGAACGCAGAGCTCTTGTATTTCTTTCGCAGCAACTGATCATGCCATTCACTAGGGAATCTGCTGTGATTTCTGATTTGCAGAACAAAGTAAGACATATGATCTGTCTTGGCAGATAAAATAACTTTCATTTCGCGTCTAAAATTTATTTTATTTTGAAAGCTGTGAGTGTTGGTTTCTTGGTGGCTTTTTTTTTTCCATTCAGTATCTCGTCACTTTCRCTGTGTACATTTTGCTTTTGTAAATGAGACCGTTTCATTCCGTCTTTCAGAAGATGAGTTATCAGGATGCACTGAAACGTGTCAGTTTTAGGCCAAACAGAACTGTAGTAGGCAACAATTCTTCTAGCAGCCATAAATCAGATTTGTGACGGTGCAGCTCCATCTAGTGATTCTTCTCTACAACTGCAGCACAAGGGAGAGAGGARCTATGGGTTACTCTGTTCAATGAAACACACCAAGTTTGCAAGCTTCTAGTGTTGTGTTGACCTGTCGATTCAGCGAGATGCCACGTTTAGACATCTCTGGGAACTTCAAGTTTCTGCARTCTCCAAGAGAAATGGTAAACTGAATTGCTAACATACTTAAATGTGTTTCTGAGATTACTACCCTCACCAAGCTGTTAATGAGTAATAGTTTACCTTTGGTGGCAGTGTTAGGTGTTTCACTATATTGCTGTACTGGACAACATGTTGTTTCCTTTAGATTTGGAATTTGATTTTCAGATAGATATGATAAAACATTTTTGTAGGGGGTCAAAAGAGTTAAAATCTTTCAACTGGATAGAATGGAGCCATCAGCTTTTCTTTGAGCCRCTTCAGTTTTCAGTTTACATAACTCTGCGATACACAGTGAACAGGAATCTTTGATTAATGGGTTCATTAGACAAATGCTTGCCGTGTTCAGTGGCTATCTGAGCGTTTAAACATTTTGGTAGATTTCTGCCTACTACTTGCACTGACTATGGTAAAGGCTACTTAGAGATAAAAGCTGAATGTAACACTGGYTTGGATACAAATCCTACTGCTCCCTATAACTGTAAGGTCAGTCCAGTTACACAAATTTCATGGGAGATCAGGATTGCTCCCAGTATTGCAGTCAGTAGGCATATTTGCAGTGCCTGAAAGTGCCTTCTCTCTGGAACTGCMTTCTTGGAAGGGTAGGAGGATTTTGGCAGCATATTCAGGCTGGAGCCAGAACATGATTGCATTTGTAAAATGTATAGAACAGGACAGACAGGATAGKGGCTGACCTCAAGRTGTACAATCCTCACTTTATTCATAYTGATAATCTATTCAAGGTTTTACAGACACTGRGTACTTGATATATGCAATGCTCTGTTCTTCTCCTGGAACCTTCCTTCTGGGATTGTTTTTCTGTGTGAGAATATTGTACACCCTCTACCGTGGTGWCATCTAGCTGTGTAGACTTATCGTAAAAATGGGACTGACAAAACATTAGCCTACTGATAAGGCTGTCATCTCACTTCTGGGTTTCTGCCTTTCATTTTTACATGGACCAGTTGTGCCTAGTAACTGAGGCACTGCTGTAAAATGCTAAATTACTTGCCTTGAGTATAATAAGCTGTTTCCTTTCTCAGTCCTCATAATTTACTTTTTTTTTTTTTGTTGTTGTTGTTGTTGTTTTTCTTTTTATTTCCCTTTTAACTCTTCCAAGTGTCAACTATCTGAACTCAGCTATGTGTTCTGGCAGGCTGGGCCTTCCAGGTCATTGGTGATGTTTTGTGGTCTGCTCCAAGGTGGTGGTAATGAGTAGTACATGAGCATTTTGATTGTCTTACTGCTGCACTAAAAAAAGTAAAATCTGTGGATGTTTCAGCCACTGTCCAGCATGGACAGCCAGGGTATAGATGTGGACCAGAGTGGGTATAGATGACTCTTTCTAAAATCATACTCACTCTGTGGTGGAAAATCACTGTGTATCACAGATAGCCCAAAGGAAGTATATATAGGCATGTTKGAACAGCGTAATTCACTGGAAATAAGCCCTACAAATTTGTTGAAGCTGTATTGGCCTATGACATTGGAAAGCATTCAGTGAGTTGCATGCTGTSTCTGCTTCATTCAGGCTGCAGTATTGCTGGTGTGGCTTCAAGCACAATTTAAATKTTGCTTTAAGTCCTAGTTATCCACACGTTGTTCTCCATTGTTTACAATGAGGATAGCAGTCACACAGTCCTCTAAAGCAAGTCAACATTTGCATCMAATGTTGAAAAGCAGTGTATTTAGTTTAGTGAATAAAACAGAAAAATGTCTGAAGCTTATGTACAGCTAAAAGAGAAGACAGCTGTCTTTGTCCATAAAAGCTTACAATGTGAATGTAAAACCATGGTCATGGGCAGGAAATGTAAGKAACTGGATTGTATTGAGCAGTGTGGCCTGGCAGGAAAGTAACAGTCAAGTTTCTTAGCCGAAATCAGAGCAAAGTTTTAAGGAGTGATCAGGAAGAAGGAAAATGAAGTGTAGAGCTATTTAAAAGTTTACCTGAAATATGAGTGCAGAATGAGAAAAAGCCCAAATACCAGGAGGAACCAAAGAAGAATGCATTAATGCATTCATATGGTCAGATTAATTGCTGAAAATGCTGATTGGGTTGAAATTCTGGGTGAATGGAACTTGAATGAGATAAGAACTGRGGAAAGAAGTTGTAGTAAGCAAGGTAATGAGACCTTAGTCAAAACTTTTAGTTGTGAGGATGAGCATATGACCTTGGAAGTATGTCAAAATGTTTCTGCTTGATTTAGCATGACTTAGTGTGAGGGTTGGGAGTGAAATGAGAGTTGATAATGAAGAGTTACAGGTTGATCAATAGTAATTTTTATCTATCTTGATGGTGCAAAAAGTTTGTAGAGCTGAGGCTGACCTGATCTTAGCCATCCTCAGAGAAATGTTTGATAYAGATTGGGATTTTAATCTAGCTGCAAGAAGGTAGGAGGCAAGAGGCATATTTGCAAGTTGTCTGCACTGACATTGTGGATGAATGCATGCCTAGATTGGGCACTCAAAAGACACTCAAAAAAGACATCAAGCCATGAATTCCTTACCTATTAAGATATTCATAAATAAGCAAACCCATAAGTATTTGATTATATTTATTTATTCTGTTTTAATAGGTTTTCATAATATCTTTGTTTAAAATTGAGACAACTTATTTACCATATTTGTGTGTTCATTTATCTGTCTTGGGTGTTGTAGATAAAAAAAAAGTGTATGTTTTATAATTTTACACTCTRTGGTGTATATCCCCTTGTAAGACCTAGATAAATCACTTGACACTGTATTTCAGAGGACTGTATATGAAATTATTATTTTAATCACAATTGAGGCTTTTTATTTCTTCTAATTGGTTTTACTATGGTATTTGTCTGTTCCATCCTTGTTATCTCTCTAGTATTATGCTTCACATTTCATTTTACAGTTCCATAAAGCAGGGTATGCCATTTACCAGCATAACCTCCTTGACCTTAGAGATACTCATTCCACATATATCTGTTAAAGCAATTTTTTTGCCATGGATGGTCATTCATCTTCTCAACTGAAAATCTTGGAATTTTAAGAATGGTACCATCTTTTTTTTTTTTTTTTAATTTTTTTCTAATTTTATTTGTGATAAATGGAATTTCTCTCCATTTTTTTTAATAGTTGAAATCCATAATTTGAAATAAGACTAATAGTTTCTCAAATACACATCATTGCTTCTAAAGTAATCTGGATTTTTTATCAGACAAACTGTAAGTAGCAAAGCTTCCTTTAATATGATTCATTGTCCAGCTGGAGGRTAATCACTGAAATGGAACACAG